TATATATGTATATATGTATATATGTATATGTATATATATATGTATGTGTGTGAATGTATATATGTATATGTATATATATATATGTACATATATATATATAATATGATTTTTTTTCTCTATATTATAATCAGTTTTGATGTGACTCTCAGTAAGGAGACAAAGGTAGAGATCATCTTTATTATGCTCAAAGTTTGAGCGTAATAAATTAACACATAAACCCGATGATACTTTTGAAGGAAACTTGTCTCTACTGATATTGGCTACCCATCTTCTCAGCAGTTCAGGTTTGTGTAATGGAAATCTAAAAATAGTCAAATATATCATATTGTTTTATACAGTGTAAATATTATATATTACATGCATTACATTTCAACAGAGAAAGGAGGACAGAATCATTTTTTTCAGTCCTCCACATAATTCTGTGTCAATCTTTGCTTTCCTCTCTCTACTGCCTCAAAGACTAACTGTTCACCCCTTGAGTTTACTTTAATCTAGCCAACAAGCTGCTAAAACTACTTTCAAATGGAAAAGTCAAACTTTTTTTACTGACTATTTTTCTAAACTATCATTTTTAGTTACCATTTCCTTTTTGGACAGGGAGCTAATTTATCCTGAGACACTAGACTTGGACTAATTACATTGACGAATGGAAATCATTAAAATGTTTATCGTGCATGTGAGCTTTCAGAGTGTTCCTAAAATAAACTTCTCCTTAAACAACTTGCCATCTCTATTTCAAAATGAACTGCCCAGAGAAGAGTCAGGTATTTACTATTGTTTATTTTTTCATTAAACGTTTATCTGGATTTTGGTGTAGTGATAAAACCCTAAACGGGATCCACATGTTCACATTGTTTTGATCATAAATTATCTTTTTTTTTTAGGTGGCAACATTGATTCTGGGACCAAATGTTACAGTATAAATGATTGTACCAATAAATCTTGTTTACACATTTTAATAAAAAAGAAAATCAATGACAAAACGAAAGCCAATGTGCCCATCTGTTATCCAAAATAAATCCCTAATATTATTTTGACCATTCCCTCTTCACAATCTACATAGCTAATATAAGTCAGATCCTTTCTGATGCATCTTTACATTTCTATACCAACAACACAGTTGTTTATTGTTGAGCTGGAACAGTTGCTAAGGTTTTCCAGCTTTTACAGTCTACATTCAACATCATCCAGTCGATTTGTTCCATTTCAAACTGGTGCTAAATGCTGACAAAACCAAAGGGATGTTGTTTTCAAACAGAAAATCGGTCCCAGCAGTTTTCCCTTCTATCTTATCTATGAATGGTGTTCCTACTGAGTTTGTCGATTCTTATAAATACTTGGAAATCTTGGTTGATTCACGTCTCTCTCTTAAGCCTCATGTTGAAAACTTGGTAAAGAAATGGAAAGTAAATCTGGGTTTCTTTTTCAGAAATAGATCCTGTCTAACTCTGAACGCTATAAACACTTTGTAACTATAACTTTCCTTCCCTCCATTGATTACGGTGACATTATTTACACAAACGCTCCTGCAAGAACCCTGCAGATGTTGGACGCTGTCTATCATGGTGCACTAAGATTCATAACTGGCTGTAACTGCAGTACCCATCACTGCACCCTGTATTCACTGGTCAATTGGTCATCATTAATTTCATGCAGACTCTCTCACTGGTACATTTTCATCTTTAAATCACTTCTTGGTCTGCTGCCTTCATACATCTCCTCCTACATGTCTCTGTGTCAGTGCAGTCACAGCTTGCACTTTCAGGACATTATTACCTGCAGTGTCCCCAGACCAAATTTGTCAAAAGAGCCTTCTTTTACTCTGCTCCTGTAACCTGGAACATCCTGCAAAAAGATCTGAAGGTCTTGACCTTGACCTATCTAAGGAATTTGAAACAATTGTTAAGTTCAATGTAAAAATCAATGCAGACGTGTTCCTGTTTTTAGTATTTTAGCCCATTTCAGAATATAGCTTGTTTTTATTTTTTGTTTTATATCACTACTTTTAATCACTTTTCATTTTATTTGCTTTTTATGACTGTTTATTCTTGTGTATCTTATGTGTTTTTTTGTCTAAAGCAGGTCTTTCTTGTAAATGAGTCCTCGTGATTCAATGAGACTTACCTGTAGAAATAAAGGTTGAATGAATTAATACATTTGTAGTTGTAAAGTTCACATTTTCACAGCTAGTTTGATTTTCTAAACATATACTATAGTGAATAAATTCATCTTTGTGTGATCGGTTTGCTGAAAATTTTTCAACTTCCCAGGCTTGTACATAATGTCGAGGATGACTGGGGGGAAAACGTGATCTATGAGTGAAGTTCATTCAAACTTCTTTCCCAGAGGAGTTTGGACCTTTCTACATTTTGCAATTCCTCTTCGAATTTTGATACATTGTAAGTAAATTCTTGGACTTCTTTTCTTTCTTCCAGATGGTCAGAGGCAGGAAATGAACCTGGGCGGTGCAGGTTCCCGCCAGTGTTTCTATGACCTCACTCCCACCAGCCAATACCAGATCAGCATTTACACACAGATTCAAGATGTGGAGGGACCATCTGTGTCCATTACTGACATGACACGTATGTATGAGCACATACTTTTATACTCTGAACAAAACCATGAATAAACATTTGTTTACACCCATTCAATTATCATTTTTTCCCTTCAACTAGATTTTCACCAATTTATCCAAACAATTGTTCTATGCCTCTATGCCCTCTTTTTCCCACGTATTTCTCAGTCCTTTGTCGTCTTTTTTAACTACAGCCTCTGGGCTTTCTTTTTTTAGACACCACAGGATGCTGTTGCAGTTCACTGGTCGGCTGATGAACTGAACTGAACCACACAGGGACAGAGCACACTCATCTTACACTATATGTCATAGACACCTACTAAATAGATGTGTTCTGTCACACAATCACACACTTTCACTATTGCAGATGACAGATGGCCATTACATTTAAATCGGCTAATGGGCTGAGTTCAGCAGTAGTTTTGTCTACAATGTGCCTGTGCTAGTAAAATGAGCCACAATGAGTACTTCTTTTACTACTGAGTTTGGTTACAGACTGAAAAACTCATTCATCCCTGTAGCGATCAGGCTTCTCAATGAACAGTGATGATTTCTGTAAGGTTATTTTGGTGTCTTGTCTAGTATGGATATTTTGTGTGCTTACTGACTGTGAAGCCAATGGCCCCTCGGGGATAATAAAGGTTCTCGAACTTGAATTACTTTCAAATTCTCCATCTACAAAGCATCAAACTGAAATGTAAGTTTTTTTTAAATTTGGTGATTCATCACTTGGTCCTATAAACAATTTAGTTTTGTGTATCAGAGTGCCAATTTGAAAGCTCAAAATTTATTGGTCTAAAGTGATGTCATCGGGAGTTACAGACCGGTATTTAACAAGCTGTACACTGATGTCCCTCATCATTGAGGGGTTTGAATAGTGAATGTTTGTAATAGATGAATGTTACTGGACTGGAACTGAACAGGAAATGCAACTAAACCTGAATGTTTTTACTGAAAGATATTCAAGGCAGAAAGAGCTGCATTGTGTGTGAGAAGAGATGTAAGGTTAGGCATCACAGAGCCTGGGTGAACAGAAAGGAATTTTATCCACCACCAGACTCAATCGTGTAGCCGGAGGGTGGTCTAAGGTAGCCTTGACCATACCAGTTACTTGAGGAAACTATACTTTTAAGCAATATTGAAACTAGAAAGCATTTTTATTCTTCTTTCGGCTGCTCCATGCTTCTTCAGGGGTCGCCACAGTGAACTAACTCACACGAAGACTTGGCCGTTGTTTTTACGCCGGATGCCCTTCCTGACACAACCACAGACCACCGAGCTACCACAGCCCTCTGTGTGGAGCAGAGAGCTGCTTTGTAGGGCACTCGGGGCAGCAGATGGTGGGGGTTAAGGGCCTTGCTCAAGGGCCCAGAGTGGGGCAAATGAGGGTGGAGGCAGGTGTGGGTGCTTCACCAATCCCACCCACATTTTGATGTTATCGGTGCCGGGAGTTGAACCGGCGATCTTCCGATCACAGGCCCAGCTTCTCTAGCCTCTGCACCACCACTCCCCACTTCCAATATTGAAACTAGAAAGTACATTTCCCTCAAATGATTAGGGTGGATGGTTTACATACAAATATTGTGGCATCCATCTTGGATTTTGATGCGACAACACAGTTTTGGTTAGGGACCTTTATTACGCCTAGATGCAGCCACACATAAAAATGGAAGTCAGCACGTTGCTTTTTTTTTTTCCAGTGAAAGCAATACTTTGGTGTCCCTTAACCTAATAATGATGGAAAGAAAGAGATTCATAGAAGAAATGTTGAAAGATTAACAGATGTTGTTAATTTTATCACTAAAGTTATTACACTACTGTCTGCTGCTGTGCTACTGTTGTTCTACTTCATACACTCACGTGATTTAACTGACAATAAAATGTCCTTGAATCACTAAAATGACCTGAGTCAAGGTCATTCAGACCTAAGAGTTAGGATTTAAACAAAGCAGACAGTTTTTAAAGGGCTCAGATGTTTATGTAAATGTCTACAAAGACCAGCGTTTGAATGGAAAACTTATCTGGAGTCAGTTTCTGCAGTCTCAGGGTGCCAGCTACTTTACGTTTTGTCTAAGCAGTCCTCTCAAACACCCGGTGATGGTGAACGTGTTGACACTGTCCTGTTTCCTTTTTGTGTTTGCACAAATATAGTGTCAGCGCCCACTCAGGGTCCAACCAACCCCCCCACCACAGAGCCCTCTCCTTCCATCCCACCTGCTAAAGAAGGTAAACAGGAAGTACAACATGACTGTTCATTTCTGAGTTGAACTGTTGGTGAGATTTACGGCACACAAACATCAAATGTGACAAATCCAAACATGTGACTGCAAACAGTTTGCTTAATTTAGATTTTTTGTCCAATAGAACTAAAAAATAATAATTATCTTTATTTTTTAAATGGGAACTCTCTGTTGTAGTTTTCAGTATAGGTGGAGTGATGTGTTATCATCATTATAAGCACACACACTGAGGAAATCTGTCAACTGCATTTAACCCATCACACTCGTGAGATACTTGATATCAACTCGATACTAGATTATGCTTATTTATTTATTTTAATTGCCATAAATAAATATTCTGTCAGTAAAAAAAAAAAAAAAATGAAATGGGGATTTTTATTGAAACTAAAGGTCCTAAAAAAAGTTCTGATTTTTAACAAGTCATTTAAATTTGATATTTATCTTTCAGGCTGAGATAGCTTGAAAAGATAATTTAATTTATTCTTAAGAATATTAAAATATAACATTTTTAAGAGGTTGAGTAAGGTGGTTGATTTTTTTTTTCCGCCTAACAAACTTATTGTCATAAAGTCTAAGGACCTTCTGAGGGTTAATAAATAAGCCTCTATGTTCTACCACGCTCCTGTGTGCCTCTGTGTTTCCAGCAGTTATGTTAATAAACATGTAATGTTAGGAATGCCTCAGTCCCTGAGGTGCACCGCCAGCAGATCTGTGCCCCCAGTTCACTCAATTTAAATACAACCGCAGCTTCACACAATCACTCCTCTTTTCTCAAACAGGTTTTCATGCCTCATTACCTTATTTAGGAGATGTTTTGACTCACATTCTATTAAATTCCTAAGTTTCCTGCATCTAGACATCACTTTTGATTGTGCAGCGAGGAAATTACACATGCAGGACATATTTGGATCTATTCCATATTTACATGGAGGCGTGCCAGAGGTGTGTTCAGTTCTACTTTTGTCCAGATGAATGCTGGAGTGGTGTGCCAAAACGTGCATGCACACGGTTTTTATAAATCGGAATACGCTTGTGCACATGCAGTTTTCACATTTCGACCCTTCACCAACTTTCAGTATGAAAGCTGCACACATGAGGCCCCTGGTGTGAGGAGTGTACACCAGCAGGTGAACCTTTAACTGAATGCAGGTAAACATCCTTTGACAGGCCACATTGACTAAAACTGCATCTTGAAACCACTGATTTATACTTGCCATGCTTTTAAGGTTTACTTTTAGAAATTAATTTGTATAAATACACTAACCTGCACATTTAAACAGTATTTTGGCATCTATTTTTTTTTTACGTATTAAAGAAAAGTTGTACAATAAATGTTCTTGCAAAATAGTAACAGGAGTTGTTGTGAGCATCTGGAACCAATCTCAAACATTTCTACATTTAGTTTATTCTAGAACATTGAAGCTGTATTTATTTATTTATTTATTTGGCAGAACGTAAAGTTTGTTCCAGATTGTGCTGGATATTTGTGCAAACATAGGCTTCAATGTGATTTTAAGAGAACACTTGCATATTGTCTCACCATTTTGCATCAGCAACTAGTCCCCAACACTAACAGATTAGTGAAACACTTTCCTGAAAATTTCAATAAAAACTGTCTAGTGGTTCGTGATATTTTGCTAACACAGACAGACAAACATACACAGACAGTTACATAACCATTTGTTTTTCATGGTACCAGGGTACAATAAAACAGGAAAAGCTATGCAGCCTGTTGAGGATGTACCTGCACCTTTCTACCAATGACTGCTGGAGATGAACAGCTTAACACTGAATCGAATCAACAGGGTACAGAAAATGGATGAATAAGTACATTCAACTCGGTTCAATTCAGTTTATTTACCGGTATATAGCACCAAATCACAACAGAAGTTGCCTTAGGAGGACACTGTACAAAATCAGGAAATAATGTTCAAAATAAGAGAAGCAAATAACTAGAACTCAACAGAATACATGAACATAAAAACTAAAGTCATCTAAACTGAGCCAAACACAGGGCTGACAGCCATATGCTGCAACAACACTTTCCCTCAGTGGTTCAGAAGGCAAACGAACATGTAGGAATCCAGCCGCAGTTAAAGTTACCCTGGACCAAGCCCATTTTGACACAACTCTATACTAAACCACCTATGACACCAAATAAAGTAAATATCCTGATGTATGCACAATAATCCTGGTAGAAAAATCTAAAAAAAGTTAAATCTGGTCCTCTGGACATTAAAAAAAAAAAATTGTAGAAACGTTTCGTCTTTCATCCGAAATACTTCGTCAGTCTGAGGGGCTGTATTCAGCTCAGTCTTATAAATAGCACCTTCTCATAGTGGATCAACCAGTTTGCTGCTGACAACCAAAATCAGCTGCCAAAAGGATGGACCAGCACAGAAGATCAACACCATCAGGCCAGGACTCTGCGGTCTACACTCATCTCCAGGCCAGCGGTCACTCTTTCAGGGATGAAGATGTGCACATCCTGGACAGAGAGGAACGATGGTTTGAGAGAGGAGTAAAGGAGGCCATCTTTGTGAAAAGAAATCGTCCATCATTAAACAGGGGTGGAGGCCTCCGGGTTCAACTGTCCCCCTCTTACAATGCTGTGATTGCTAGTATCACTCAGCCCTCTGTGAATAGCAAACAGCCATCAGTGTGCTAATGACCCATTGTTAGACTGATGGTCCTTCTTGACCATGTGAGCAGCTGGTTTTGGTTGTCAGCAGCAAACTGGTTGATCCACTCTGAGAAGGTGCTATTTAAGAGACTGAGCTGAATACAGCACCTCAGACTGAGGAAGTCTTTTGGATGAAAGACGAAACGTTTCTACAATTTTTTTGTTTTGTTTTGTTTTTTTGAATGTCCAGAGGACCAAATAAAATAAAAAATAAATGACTGATTACCTAAAGAATCAATAGTCTACAAAATCAAGAATAAGAGAGATCTATATTGTAAGTTTGTATTCTGAGCCTCCACTTCTTGCTACAGCCGTCCTCCTCCTAAAAGGTCGCCATGAAACATGATGGCTCAGATGTGAGCCGACACATCTGCCGAGTTTTTCTCAAAACAACTGTTTAAGTTTCCAAATCAGCAAAACAACTGGCAACCTTTACTCTGAAGAAGCAAGAAAAAATGAAAAGCAACGTGTGTTTCTCTGTAAATAGACAATGGGCAGCAAAACGCAACAAGGTGAAGAGAATGATCAGTAGGGTTAGAAACAAACACATTGAATGAACTTGAGTAGCAGCCAGTAAACAGAGAGAGAGGGTCTGGCAGAAGATTGTTTATTGAAAGTGGTGAGCGTGTTGAAGACAGATGTGAACTGACAGGATACGTGCAGAAGGGTCAACGATATGTTCAAAGCTTCCTGCTCCCCTCTTGTCCCCATCTCCTCAGTTCTTCAAGAATTACATTATTTTTATTATTATTATTATTATTTTTCATTATGTAATTCATAGAGATTGGCTGGGTCATAACAAGACTTGGAATTTTGTGATTTAGAGCTTGAAAAGTCTTTAGAACCCCACAAACAGTTGAACAGCTTTATTGATGCACAGTACTGGGAGTCACTGGAAAACACAAGGTTAAAAGCAGAAAGCCGTCACTACATGACAGAGAATAAGACTGAGCAGCTAACAAAATACAAGCAGAAGTACCTTAAATAACTTTTTGAATTTTAAAGTGCACGTACAACATATTTCATTTTTTTAAAACCTCTGCAGCGTAGCCTCAGCTCAGAAGGCCTTATTTTTATATATTTACACTTTTCTAGCAGATGTGTATTTGTGGTGCTTTACACTTTGAAAATGTACTCAATCTGAATATGTTTCATAGCAAGTTACTATTATTATGATGCTTTGTCCTCCACTAACTTTCATTTTTTATGAAATTACTAATATACTTAATGAATTTTTCATGCCTTTCTGTCTGTCCAGTGTGTAAGGAGGCCAAGGCAGACCTGGTCTTCCTGGTTGATGGCTCCTGGTCTATCGGAGATGACAACTTTATGAAGATTACTCATTTTCTCTACAGCACCATGGGGTCATTGGATCTGATTGGCCCAGATGGCACTCAGGTCAGCTGTGGTCACTCCCACACTTGTCATCGTACCATAAAAATACTTGAGATAGATTAAAGCAAACTTCTGCAGAAAGATTGTGAACATTTAATATCATGTCTGTTGTAGATAATTGTTTGAATTACCTCAGTTTGGAGAAACAGTTTATGATCAAAGAGCTAGTTCAAGTGCAGCCAAGACCTTTTTTGTTGTCATTTTAAGACCACTCTAATACACAGCTGTTCATAATATGTTGTGAATTTTTTAATGATTTTTTATGCCCATGCCATTTTCACATTACATTCCTATTCCAGCAGAAATGTTACATTTCTGCAAAAAGTTTCCCCAGCCTGCATGAATCAAATAATTTTTGATAAAGTGCATTACAAACAGCCAAAGTTGACCAAAGTGCATTGTGTGTACAATACAATAAGTGTACAAGAAAAACATAAAACAATCAAAACAAAGATGAGTAGCTAAAAACTTAACCCTATCCAAAAACAAAAAGAGATTATAGAACATAGTAAGAAAGGAAGTAAAAAGACAAAATAACACGAGTTGTTTGTAAATTCTTATAGAATGTAAATTTGCAGGAAGTGTAAAGATTTTACAAATACTACACATGAAATCAAAAGTTTTAAGATTAAAACTGTTTTAAAACAGCATCAATATATTTTGCTCTTGACTCCACCTGGACTAGTTGGTTGTTCATCGATCCAAGAAACGTAACTTTTTCTTCTAGTGCAGATATATCAAAGAGCTGTCTACAGCAGGTATCATATTAATTGCGCATGAACGTTCTACAGCGTTCCACTTTGCAAGATTTGAAATTTCCTTTTATACTTAACTTTCCCAGGTTTATTCCTGAATTTTCAGAATTTTTCTGCACATGATTAAATTTTCAGTGTTGACTAGCCTGCTCTCATTGTTTTGAAAGAGCAAATACATTTACTGCCATTGGAATTCATGGGGGGGGTTAAAGAATATATATATATAATTTTCATAAACTTTTGGACACCAAATGCTCGAAAACCTCAATATCAATTAAAAATTATTACATATCTATGGGGTAAAACAAAGTTGCAGTGAAGAGAAAATGTTATGTATAAGCATTACCCATCCATCCATCCATCCATCCATCCATCCACCACTTTGGGTCTGGCTCTCCAATCTCTGGTGCTGAGGTCACCGAGGTGGTTAAAAAGCTCCTTGGTGGCAGGGCCCCAGGGGTGGATGAGGTTTGCCCAGAGTTCCTTAAGGCTCTGGATGTTGTAGGGTTGTGTTGGCTTACACGACTCTGCGATATTGTGTGGACATCAGTGGCAGTTCCCCTGGATTGGCAGACCGGGGTGGTGGTCCCCCTATTCAAAAAGGGGGACTATAGAGTGTGTTCCAACTACAGGGGATATCACGCTCTTACTGTAAGCCTCCCTGGTAAGGTCTATTCAGGTGTTTTGGAGAGGATGATCTGTCGGATAGTCGAACCTCGGATTCAGGAGGAGCAGTGCGGTTTTTGTCCTGGTTGTGGAACACTGGACCAGCTCTACACTCAACAGGGTCCTGGAGGGTGCGTGGGAATTTGCCCAACCGGTCTACATGCGCTTTTTGGACTTTGAGAAGGCGTTCAACCGTGAATATGGGGTACCAGGCCCTTTGATACAGGCTGTTAGGTCCCTGTATGACCGGTATCAGAGCCTGGTCTGCATTGCCAGCAGTAAGTCAGGCTCATTCCCAGTGAGAGTTGGACTCCGCCAAGGTTGACCTTTGTCACTGATTCTGTTCATAATTTTTATGGACAGATATTCTAGGCGCAGCCAAGGTGTTGAGGGGATCTGTTTTGGTGGCCTTAGGATTGCTTCTCTGCTTTTTGCAGATGATGTGGATGTGTTGGCTTCATCAGGTCGTGATCTACAGCTTTCGCTGGAGCAGTTTGCAGCCGAGTGCGACACAGCCGGGATGGAGATCAGTTTCTTCCAAATCTGAGGCCATGGTCTTGAGCCGGAAAAGGGTAGAGTGCCCTCTCCGGGTCGGGGAGTAGGTCCTGCCCCAAGTGGAGGAAATCAAGTATCTTGGGGTCTTGTTCACGAATGAGGGAAAAATGGAGCGAGAGATTGATAGGCGGATAGGTGCAGCGTCAGCAGTGAAGCAGGCGCTGTACAGGTCTGTCGTGGTGAAGAGAGAGCTGAGTCAAAAGGCAAAGCTCTCAATTTACCAGTTGATCTACGTTTCTACCCTCATCTATGGTCATGAGCTTTGGGTTGTGACCGAAAGAACGAGATCTCGGATACAAGCGGCTGAAATGAGTTTTCTCCACAGGGTGTCTGGACTCTTCCTTAGAAATAGGGTGAGAAGCTCGATCATCCGGGAGGGACTCAGAGTAGAGCCGCTGCTTCTCCACATCGAGAGGAGCCAGTTGAGGTGGCTCGGGCATCAGGTTCGGATGCCTCCTGGACGCCTCCCTGGTGAGGTGTTCCGGGCACGTCCCACTGGAAGGAGACCCAGAGGAAGACCCAGGACACGCTGGAGGGACTACATTTCTCGGCTGGCCTGGGAATGCCTTGGGATTCCCCTGGAGGAGCTGGCCTAAGTGGCTGGGGAGAGGGAAGTCTGGGCCTCCCTACTTAGGCTGCCCCGTGACCCGACCCCGGATAAGCAGAAGAAAATGGATGGATGGATGGATGGATGGATGGATGGATGCATATAACCAACTACCTTATTCTTGTATTTTTCTTTAGCCTCAACTAATTTCATCCTTACCTAACAGCCAAAAGTTAAACTCATTTTTGACATCCTATAAAGTCTGGTAAAACTCAACTTCTGCAGAAACAGACAGAATGAAGGGGTTAAACTCCATTTAAATATCTGCTCTAAATATTTTATGTTTTTTTGTTTGTTTTTGTTCCTTTTCTATTTGCAAAGTTCAGACATAAAGAGAAATATATAAATGCACTTTTGCCCAAAGGGTGGCTCGTACTGTTTCATTTTCATCCAAATGTTTTTCATACATTTTTGGTTTATGGAGGAGATCCTGTGTTTGGCATTATTTTACATTCCAACATTACTATTCTTATTCAAAATTCATTTGGCACACCCATAAGAAATGGACAAGGTAACAGCTTCACAGACTACTAAAGGGTTTAAAAAAGTGAGGAGGAATCCTACAGTCAGTCTATCTTTTCTCTCTGAGGGGACTTTTTGTCGCCGAGCTGTATTCGATTAGCTTTGCTTATTTACTGCTGATGTGTTCTTTGCCAGGAACTATTAGTTGTCCTGCATGAATGGTGGTTTTAATAAGTGAAGTTTAGATGTATTAAAGGCTGGAATAAACATCAAGTGGTTCAAGCACAGTCTTGTGGCATTCTCTGCCTCATGTTATCACCATTTCCACTGATTTATACTGTTTGTTATGCATTAGGGTTACCAGTAGTAAAGTCAGGTTTTAATCTAGGGCAATTTATTTTCTGTCTGTGTGAAGTGATTTATTATTTTTTTCCTTCCTGCATGACCTCCACTGTTGTCAGCAGACTTCAGCTGCTTCATTTGTCACACCACAGACGTGCTTGCTAAACCTTTTTGTTTCATTTGTGTAATGTCTGCTGTTAAGCACTTTGCTGCACTTACTGTTCCCCAGAACCCCTGAGCAGCAGGTTGCCGACAGCCAAACATCAACTACAATGTGAGAAAGTTGGCTGCAAAGTAAAGAGAAAGTTGGCTGGTGAATGTAAACTGACATGAGCCAGTAACAGCACCATTAGAAGCTGGGAAAGTTGTCCGTCTCTCTTAGAGGAGGTAATTAGATTGAGTATAGCTCCCATCTAGGAGTCCGAACATCTGCACAGGATATTTTCATCTGCACCACATATCCGTTTGTGATGAAAAACATGAATCTTAAAATTATTATTGATAAATTACAACCACAAAATTGAATAAATATATAAATAAATAAAAACAACCAACCAATAAATAAACAAAAAGGTTAAACATGTGATCCCTCACTGTTTTCAGAGGTAAATGATAGAACAGTAAAAATATTTCCAGTACTTTTTGAGTTGTGTGTGTGAGTTTTCTGCTAAACTAGTCTCTTGAATTTTAATCTGAGATTGTCAAAAGTGTTGTTTTGTGTAAAGGTTTTGTTGAAAGTTCTTTGACAGCATCAGTTTAAGGAACCATTTATTTCTGATCAAACTGACAAGCTAATAGCTCGTCTGAGTGAGGTTAAAACTAAGGTGGATTGCTGCCATCTTCAAATAACACGAATCTTGTAGCAAGTTATCAGTGCTCGTTTATAAAAGATTACACCTATTATAGTTATGCATTGCACAATTCTTTTTGCAGAAATGACATAATATTCCTGCTGGAAGTGTCCCAGGCTACACTGGTAGTGCTATAGCTAGCTGATGCTGCAACTGTTTGTGAATGCAAATAACTGTAGTTTTGTGTAAATAACTGTGTAAGGTAAAATTAACAATGTAAACGTTTGTAAGTCTTGATTTGCATAAACTGTAATGAATGTTTTGACATTTAAGTTGTTTTAAGATGACAACAATCCACGTTTGTCTTGGGCTCACTCAGACTAGCCTTTAGCTCATCAATGTGGTTAGAATTTACCTTTCTACAAACTGTTTGTTCAAAAAGTTATATTCAACAAGTAATTATTTTTATTATTCATAAACTTTTCACTGAACTTAACTTAGGAGATCTGAAATGCCACTTTTCACAAAATATATTTCATGATAAGTAGTTTGTTTAGTGAACAAAAGAAGAAAAAATGATCTTTTCTTTGTTAGCCTTTAAGAGTAAATGCAAAGGTCTTAGGTGACAATAAGACTGATATTGAGTTGTTTATAAATCAGCTGTTTGTTTTATATTTTGGGAAAATTCCACAAAAGATTGTTTTAGTAATTTGGCTTTTTGCTGTTTAATGCTGTTTTTGGAAGATGCTGAAACAAACTGGTACATATTAATGGTATGTGAAAATCCTTTCCCAGTGATTGACTGATATAATTATAAACAGAAGATGAAACATTCTTTGAGTTACATAAATAAACCTTTCGAATCAAGTTTATAAACAAAGTGGTTCAGGTGAATGATAATTATATACTGAGGTTTTTTTTCATTTATTTGTGCACCCAAGTTATTTCTTCAACTTTCCATTTCTCTCCAGGTGGCCATCGCTCAGTTCAGTGATGATGCACGGACAGAATTCCAGCTGAGTTCCCATAGCAACAAGGAAGCGCTTCTAGAAGCCATTCAGAAGATCAGCTACAAGGGAGGAAACACCAAGACAGGTGAGAGCTGCATATTAGGAGAATTATTCTGATAATAGTTCATACTGTCACACAAATGTTTGAATTTACACTGATTTATTGACAAAATAATATTAATACAAATAGGAAAGCATAAAACATGTTTCAACACACATTTTACTTAACACAGAGCCCAGTGTTGCTCTCTGTAAAAAGAAGTTATGATTGCTCATCGATTTTGTCCAGAGATCAATTGACATCCCATTGGCCATTTTCACTCATTGATAAATACAAGTGCAGAATTCCTGTTGGTGTTTTGCATGAAATAATGGTAACAAAATAAAAAGTCAGGGAGGTACTCCTGCAACTTTGTCCTACTGTACCTCCAAAAATGCCTGCAAAACCCAATTAAATATTTGCAGTCCAGAGGCCTCCTATCATTTAAATAAATGACTTTTGCTTTGAAGAAGAGAAAAGGAGTAAAATCAGAGAGGAAGACTAAATGGTGGAAGCCAAGGAAGGAAGAATATTGTGAGGAGTTCAGAGAGGAGCTGTTAAAGACTCTGGGTGGTAAGAAGGAGCTTCCAGAGGACTGGACTACTACAGCAACAGTAATTAGAGAGACAGGTATTTGATAAGGTCAATAGAAAAATCAAAGCAATCATGTTCTTGTTTTAGTATTTTACCATGTTTTATAAGGCACCTTGATTTTATTGTTTTATACCACTACTTTTATTTTAATTGCATTTTATTGTTGTTTAACATTGTCTGTCTAAAACAGGTCTCTCTTGTAAATGAGTCCTCGTGACTCAGTGAGTCTAACCTGTATAAATAAAGCTTGAATGAAAAAGGTACTTGGTGTGTCATCTGGACAAAAATAAAAAAGATGATAAGAAAACCTGGTGGTGGAAAAGTGAAGTGCAGGAAGCTATTCACAGAAAGAGGTTTGCCAAAATGAAATATGACAGTAAGAGGACTGAAGAGAGGAGACAGAAATATAAGGAGATGCAACATAGAGCAAAGAGGGAAGTAACTAAGGTAAAGCAGATGGTGTATGACGAGTTGCATGAAGGGCTGGACACTAAAGAGGGCGAGAAGGACTTGTACCGATTGGCAAGACAGAGGGATCAGGCTGGAAAGAATGTGCAGCAGGTTAGGCTTTTTAAAGATAGCAAATGTAATGTTCTAACAAGTGAGAACAGTGTGAAGGTAAGATGGAAGGAGTATTTTGAGGAGCTAATGAATGAAGAGAATGAAAGAGAAACAAGAGTAGAGCTCATAAAAAAACATGGCCCAGGAAGTGGAAAAGATTAGTGAGGGTAAAGTCAGAAAACTCTGAAAAGAATGAAGAAGGGGAAGGCAGTAGGACCTGATGACATACCAGTGAAAGTTTGGAAATGTCTTGGAGAGATGGCAGTGAGGTGTTTGACTCAAATATTCAATGGCATATTTGAGGGTGAGAAAATGCCTGAGGAATGAAGAAGAAGTGTACTGGTGCCCATTTTGAAAAACAAGGGAGATGTACAGAGTTGTAGCAACTACAGGGGAATTAAGATGATGAGCCGCACGATGAAGATCTGGGAGAGAGTTTTGAAAGCTAGACTTAGATGAGAGGTGACAATTTGTGAGCATCAGTATGGTTTCATGCCAAAAAAAGAGCATCACAGATGCCATCTTTGCTTTGAGGATGCTGATGGAGAAGTACACAGAGGGTCAGAAAGAACTCCATTGTGTCTTTGTAGATTTAGAAAAAGCATGAAACAGGGTTCTGAGGGAGGAGGTGTTGTGTTGCATGTGGAAATCTGGAGTGGCATAGAAATATGTTAGACTTTACAGGACATGTATGAGGACAGCAAGACAGTGGTGAGATGTGCTGTAGGAGTGACAGATAGCATCAAGGTGGAGGTGGGAGTGCATCAAGGATTGGCCCTGAGCCCCTTCTTGTTGCTCTGGTGATGGACCAACTAACGGATGAGGTTGGGCAGGAATCCCCATGGACTATGATGTTTGCAGATATTGTGATCTGTGGTGAGAACAGGGAACAGGTGGAAGAGAACTTGGAGAGGTGGAGGTATGCACTTTAATGAAGAGGAATGAAAGTCAGTCGTAGTAAGACAGAGTACATGTGTGTAAATGAGAGGGAGGCCGGTGGAACAGTGAGACTACAAGGAGCAGAGGTCACAAAAGTGCAGGACTTCAAGTACTTGGGGTCAATTGTCCAGGAATATGGGGAATGTGGTAAAGGAGTTAAGAAGAAACTTGATGCAGGATGGAGTGGTTGGAGAAAAGTTTCAGGAATGATTTGTGACAAAGGGTGTCAGCAAAGGTCAAAGGAAATTTTTACAAGACAGTGGCTATGTTGTATGGTTTGGAGACAGTGGTACTGACAAAAAAAAAAAAAAAAAAAAAACAGGAGGAAGAACAGGAAGTGGCAGAAATGAAGATGTTGAGGAGGTTCTCCTTGGAAGTGAAGAAAAGCTAGGCTGTTGATCCTGCATTTTTACCAAATCTCCAAAGTATCTGCTCAAACCCCCCACTCAAGAACATATTCATACATGTACATGTACGCATGCACAAAGTAAGAAGTTTTTACCCTTGTGCCTACAGTGAAGATGAGTGATTTGTAAGGTTCAGTAAGGCTGTTTGTCTTCTGGTTAATTATTTCCCTGCTCTAAAATTCTGCAGATCTTACGTAGCACTAAAACACACAAAGATTAACTGCGCTCAGCAAGAGCATTAAGAAGATTTAGGCAAACAAAGTAATGTGAAGCTGCATGAGTATCAATATTGATTTAATTTAAAAACTCAACTGAACTTTTAATTTGTTCTTTTCTTATGAGAAAGTTTGTACATTTACCACAGTTCTTGTGTGAATTTGGTCCATCTCATTGTTCTGACATTCAGTTTAATGTGAAAGTACTAGAACTCAAAGTTAGCTTTGTAGCATGTAAATGGCTGTGGTTGTATTTGTGTTAGATCTCTAAGCTAAATTGAACACATTAGACGCTTTTCCTGTTTTGAGGCAAAATGATTAAGTTTGGAATCAAGCTATATGATATAGACTTTAGATTGATACATTTTAGTCATAAATACCTTTTATGTGTAGTTAGTATATTTTAGCTTGACAAGCAAAAATCTCAACAATACTTTTTTGTATAAACTTCACAATGTGGCTCATTTAATTCAAAACTGGCAATTTCCTGTATGATTTAGACTACTGGTCCAAGAAGCTTTTTTGAAAGTCTTTGAATCAGGTGTGCTGAAGCATGAAGAAACATTTCAATCTTGTGGTAGACCCTGAGGACCAGGACTGGGGAATTCTGCCTCCGTAGCCGTTTTTGTATGTCCTTTAAATAGTTTGTTCAGTTTTTATTATCTTTTCCATTGTCCTTTGATGAAGCATTTAAAAACACACTTCAATAGTTGGATGGTTTAATCTTTCTCATCAATCACTATGAGAAACTTTGTTTTAAACTTCTTATTTCAGTAAGTTGGTACTTTTGTGTCACATCAAATTCTTTACACATGGGACCTATGCACAGTTAGCTGCAGCACCCAAACAGTAGTAGCAGAGGTTATGTTTCTTGCTTAAATGGTTTGCACAAAAGGTTATTCTCAAAAAGAAAATGTATTTATCAACTTCATGAATGATATGTAATGAAAACATTTTAAAAGCCTGTACTATGAGTTTTTACTCTCAAAATTCATACTAATATGCTAGAAGGGCAGTTTAAAGAGTCAGGCAGCTGAAGGTGATTTTCTGGGTTTTTGCTCCTCACTATGAATTTATTCATTAAGTTATAAGTGAGCCTCTAACAAGCTGACTGAATGATTATTTTGTCCTATTCGCTGCATATGTAATGAATGAGAAAATGTGTTTTACACTGAGCAGATGTGCTCGTCTTTGACACTGCTTGACTATGCAAGTTAAAAAAATACTATTTACTACTTGGAATGCAATATGAGAGTGCATTTTCTGGACTGTTTGTGTAATGTGACTGACTCTCAGCATGTTAAATAAATTAAACTTGTTCCTTAACTACTGGTTCAAAGCACATTTTAAATACTCTTAGATTAGTTGAAGTAATGTATTCCAGGGGTTTTATTTAAGCAGTCAGCCAAACTCAGCTGAAGAAATGCAGCTTTTGAGGCTGTCGGTCAATGTTCTGTTTGACTCTTTACATTAATACAAGGATGGGGGTATAAATATGCCATGAATACATTTCACTGACTGTAAAAGTTGGTGTCTTGAAAAGAAACATAAAATATGTTTTCAGGAATACAGTAAATCCTGTGATTTAGTTGTATTTTTTTCAAATTATTCCCTTCCTATTTGTACAAATGTTGCATGCATTCACTCATTAATAGATTATTTATTCATTTAGTTTTTTTTAACATTCTGCTCTGTTTTTTAAAACTAAAGTGATTATTCCAAACCTGGAAAGCATCACACAATATATTCCAGTATTTACAAAGTATATACCAGGGGTGGAAATTCCACCTTATTCAATCTTCCTCCTCTTACCAAGGACCCCATCCCAGTTGCCCCCTCTTTTCTCTCTCTTCTTTTCTTGTGGCCTTTCGTCCCTCGCTTGTTGTAATTCCACCCTCACCGCTCAGAAATACTCACCAACACATTTTGCAGACTGAGCACTCTATCACTCGTCATCACTGACAACTTGATTGAGATAAAGAACAAGAAAAGGGAGTTATGATTTCATGAGAGGGTTACTATACTGTTAATCAATTACACCTCATGTACCTGTGTTACTGTCAGATTTATGGGACACCTAAATGTTAAAATTGTTCAACACGCTTTATTACTTCATACACACCATCAAGAGCACGAGCGGAAGAGAGGAGAAAATGAAAAATAACCAGATTATGACCATTTTGATTGTGAAAATGTCAGGTGTGGATCATGCATATGAAGTTAAACACATTATTGTGTATTGTGTGTATCCTACAATGGAAGCAATATGTGCTTGAGGAGCAAATAGCTTTCCTCTTATTAAGCGTTCACATAATAAAGTTTTAAATTCAGATCAATTCGAACCTTCAGTGGGACACTACCAGTTCGCTTTATTAGACAGCAGCAAAGAATGAACTGTCCATTTTATCTGAACATATACAAGCAACTAAAAAGTATGTTTTCAATGTTTACCAAAAAAAAAAAAAAAAAAGAGATTATATTTAAAAGAGTAAAATCCTATACAGGTTCATCACAGTTAATGCACTAAGAATGCACACTAATAGTCCAGGTTCAGACAGTCCATAAGGGCAGGTGTAGCACTGCACCATAAAAATAGGCCCAGGCCTCCTTTGCAAAAGAGATCTGTGATCTTAATGGGATTTGACAGGTTAAATTAAGGATAATAAAAAATAAAAATGAGTTATGTGTTCTGTCACCTCTCATGTAAAGAAGGCTCTTGGATTAGGGGTGAAATGTCCTTCAGACAACAAAGAAATGGAATCACCTGCTCTTTAAGCATTTAGGATTAAAACAGTAAATGGAAATTTGTTAATCATTTTATTTTTTTATTTTTTTAGGTCGAGCCATCAAACATGTGAAGGAATCCATTTTCACTCAGGCAGCAGGAGCCAGGAAAGGCGTTCCAAAGGTCCTGGTTGTTCTGACTGATGGGCGTTCACAAGACGATGTGAACAAAATCTCAAAGGAGATGCAAACGGAAGGTCTGGTTTCAGTTCGTTAAATGCATCATTTCAATTATAGACCCAGGATTCCTAGAAAAAAACAGCATTACCCTTTGTCTTTTATGCCATAATTTTAAACTATTAACAGCAATCTTCTGTTGAGAAATGGAGTTTTATTTTTGGAAAACCTTTGAAAATAAATTTATGCATATCCCCACATAATATTGGACAATCTATTTGTGATTATATTACATTTAAGTGTGCTTAATTAATCATAATTACATAATTAACACAGTTAACTTAGAACTAATTAAATTAATTATATTTTATTTAATTACTTCTCAGCTACAGCTACATCAAAATTTATATAATTGTTTGTAAAATTGATGGACTTATATAACATCTGGGTTAGCTAAGATCAGTTTTTGCAGCAGCCATCATGAACTGTACAGACTATAAAAAATTAATCATTTGCACATGTACATCCAATGACTATTTTCTGAGAGTTTAACTAAAATCTGCCCAGTGGTTCATGTGAGAGTTTGCTAACAGACAAGCAACATTGAGTCCAACAGTTAAAGCTGATCAGGAAGTGCTTGAAGTATAAAATGGAGATGACTCAGCTTCTTACACATCAAGCTTTAGTTCAATATCTGTTAAAATTACAGAGTTGTTGCTGTTTGTGTTTTCCAAGGTACTCTAGCTATCGCATTTTTTAGTGGGTTGACTCTTGAATTTAACTAAAGAAATTACACCTCTTGCAAAAATGCAGTGTGAATGCTTTTTGCTGAAGAACTTGCTGAAAAATAGCTGAAATTAGCTAAAAACATGCTGAAATGTAGCTGAAATGGAAGAACAAGCCTAAGTTTGCAGAAGAAAGCACGAATAACATATTTGCTGAATGTGGTTAAATAAGCAGAAATGAGCACAAAAATTAGTAAAATAGCTAAAAAAGCTGAAAACGGCTAAAAAAAAAAGGTAGCTGAAAAGGCAGGAAGAAGCTTAAATTACCAGAAAGAAGTGTAGAGAGCACATTTGTTCCCAATTAGGATGACAGAAGCAGAAATGAACACACAAAATGGAATTTATCTGATAAAAGGATGAAAGTAACAATAAACATCTGGAGTAGCTAAAAATCAGAAGAAAAAAGGCTTAAAGAAGGAAGTAGAGCAAGAATATTTTTGCTAAATTAGGCTGAAAAGAATTTAAATTAGTGCCAAAAATGTGGACTTAACTGAAAATGCTAAGATGAGCATAAAAACAGCTAAATAGTAGCTGAAATTACAGAAAAAGCTAAAACTTGCAGAAATAAGCTGAAAGGAGCATAACAAGCTGAAATTAGTGGAAAGAAGTTAGAAGAACAACAACAATGTTGTAGTTAACAGAAAGAATCAGAAAGGAGCACAAAACAGCTGAAAGAGCAGCTGAAATTAGTTGAAAGTAGCTGGAAAAAGTTTAAATTTGCACAAGGAAGCTGAAAGAAGCTGAACCAGAACAAAATGTGCAAGGAGCAGTAAAAGGTTGTAAACAGATCTAAAGATATGAAGGATGTAAAAATGAGCTCAGTTCATTTTCTATAAGGAAAAAATGGCAGAAAAGGCTAAATATTTCAAAAAGCTAAAGTGGCAACAGTACCAAAAGTCATAGCATCTTTCTCCTGAAAGAGTTGAACATTTGTGATAAATGAATTGTTGAAATAGCACAAAAATTGTGGAACGAGAAAGATGCTGAAAAACGTACAGAAGAAAAATGATCACAACAGTGTGAAATCTTCATAAACATTCACATAAATATCTGTATGTGTGTATTCAATGGTTGCTGTCTGGGTTTCAGTCAAATCTGACTAGTGGTTCACAAAAAGCCAAAAGCATTTTGACTGTCGGTGATAGTAATTATTGTTAAAATAAGTCATTGATTAATATTCTAATCTCAATGATAAATGTGACTTTTACTGACTGATGTGTTGTCTGTGTGGTGAAGCAATCCACTAAACTCAGAGCAAATTCTCATTCGGACGCCCACTGGTTAAACTGTGTTGTGTTACAGTCATGTGTACTGTCTGAACTTGCATTGAGTCGTATTGTGTCTCATTTTCAGGCTACATCATCTTTGCAGTTGGCTTTGCGGATGCAGACTATGGCGAGCTGGTGAATATTGCCAGTAAACCCAGCGATCGGCATGTGTTTTTCGTGGATGACCTGGATGCTGTGAAGAAAATAGAAGAGCAGCTCATCACCTTTGTCTGCGAGGCTGCCACTGCCAGTGAGAAACAAACTCAAACAAAACCTGAAGTAAACTGACACTGGTGATGGACAATACCTGGAAAATGTGTTTATATGTTGAACATTCACAAATGTGAAGGCTGAACTAATCATCTTTGTCTTCCAGCGTGTCCGTCTGTGCTGATGAGCGGTAACACGATGGCAGGTAAGAGATTACAATACAAAGCAATGACCAGGCTGATTCACAAGAAGTAGGGACAACTATAAAATTAGTGGAGTGTCCAAACAGCAGCTGCCCAAAAGTTTAAAAAAAATATATATATATATTAATTTAAGTTGAGAAAAAAAAAATCACTTTCATGTAGTAACTGAAGAGAAAGTATTAAAAAAATAAATATTAAAGCTGATGTGACTTATTATGGGCACCAAAGTAACCACACAACTGTCTTTCAATTCCTGATAGTACTTTGAGAGGCAGGTGGATGGGGGGGCACAGAGCCTAGAGAAGCCGAGCCTGTGATCGGAAGATCGTCGGTTCAACTCCCTGAACCGACAACATCAAAATGTGGGTGGGAATGGTGAAGCACCCACACCTGTCTCCACTCTCACTTGCCCCACTCTGAGCCCTTGAGCCAGACTTGTAGGAGCTAAACCCCCACCATCTGCTCCCCTGGGCACCCTAGATGGCAGCTCCCTGCTCCCTCTGTGGAAAAACAATTTAAAATAAAATAAAAAGTAAAAAAAAAAAAACATAAAAACAAATGCCAAGTCTTTGTGAGAGTTACTTCACTGTGGCAACCCCTGAAGAAGGGAGCAGCCGAAAGAAGAAGAAAAAACTTTGAGAGGCAGATGGAAGCACAGACTAAAAAGTAAAATTAAAACAAAACAGAAAACTATACAGTTGAATCAGATCTTAAAGTTCTTGAACAATAAGCAGCAGAAGACTAAATTTAGAGCTAAATTTATTTATTTTCACATCTGCTCCCTTTCTTTCAAAGTCAAAGTCACTTTATTGTCAAAAGCTGCAATATGTACAGGACATACACAGGACTGAAATTACATTTCTCTCAGACCCCAGTGCAACAATAACCATTTAACATTAAAACATTTATTAAACATAAGCATAAAATGAAATAATAAAAGCATGATACTGTCTTAAATTGTACTATACGGTATAAATTTTTTTTTTTAAGTATATCTGTAAAATAAAATGAAATGAAGGTCCTGACAGTGATATTTGTAGTGAGTGGCAAAGCAGCATATGAAGTGAATGTACACGGTGTATGTATGAAGTCCTTGATATTGGTGTAGGTAAAGTGACATATGCAATAAGACTAGTAAAAAAATATATTTGTATATCAGCGGTAGTGTAATATAAGCAGCAGTGTGAGTATAAACAGTAGTGCAAATGCAAACAGTAGTATGAATAAAAACAGTAGTGCAAATGTAAACAGTAGTATGAGTATAAACAGAAGTGCAAATATAAACAGTTTTATGAATAAAAACAGTAATATGAATATGAACAGTGGTATGAATATGAACAGTGGGACCAATATGATATAAACAATCCGATACGATATAACTGGGACCCTGAGTACACAATTTCATTCCACCTCATGTACCACATGGGATGCGATTGACAATAAAGTTGAACTTGAACTTAATATTATGGTAGTTAAAAAATTGATTTTTTTTTTTATGGAAAATTTTAAAAATAGTATTGCTTGAACCGTGACTGTGTAAAAACAGTTAAATAGTAAAATGTCAGTTCAGTCATGTAAAGCTCAAGTTTTTGCAACCTGTTTAAACTTTAAATCATGTTTCCTATGTGGAGTATGAATGAGCTGTAGAACTGCAAGTGGACTAAACCTTCTCACTTGTGTCATCAAAATCCCATTGTTGTGTATGGGGATTTATTTTTGTATTTATTTATTTGCTCATTTTGCCCTGGTCACTGTGTAATTTGCACATTTTTTAAGCTGCAGAGAATGAAAACTGACAAAAATTGTGAGCAAAAAAGAATAATAAGGGCATTCTTCTGCACCTTGATCATCCAATAGCGATGGGCCCAACAGTGAAGCAGTGACTGCACAGAGACGTGCTGGTAATGATGACGACTGTTCTGCTTCAGGTTTCAGAATGATGGAGAAGTTTGGCCTGGTGGAGAAGGAATACAGCGTTATACCTGGAGTCTCTCTGGAGCCAGGTTCCTTTAACAGTTACCCGTGTTACAGGTTACACCGTGACGCTCTGGTGTCACAGCCCACAAGGTGAGTAAGGACACACTCTGACATGGGAATCCACTCAAGTACAAAACATGCTGCTTCTTATTCTGCTCAAATGAGGATTTATTTTAATTTCTGCTTCATTTGCTCAGCAAGCAGAGCTTTGAAATATTACCTTATAAGAGCTAAATTTGTCATTATTGTTTGACTTTACCTCCAGCCTCACTATTTGTATTCTTCATTGTCACTTCTGTGGTATCCAGCCACTACGGGCCGTGTAGGTTCTCTTCTCTCCATGTTTACATTTTCCTCTTGTCATTAATGCAGCCTGCTGTCAAAGCTAATATTCAGCCATAAGCAGACAATCTTTTTAAAACTTGTCAATAGTTTCTAACTTGGTTGACAACTTCAGCTGAGAATGTGACTGGTAGACCAGGAGGTGACAGTTTATGTAATTAGTACGACGGAGCTTTAGGGCCACGCTAAGAAAGAAGAAAGAAAAAACATTACGAATGAAAAATCAGTTTTGCAACTGCAGTAAAATGATGAATGATAAACTGAAGCTGTATGGCATTGCTGCAGATGATCTGACTGATAATTGTTGGATTTGATACCTGGATGATTGAGCATAAACTTTGTTGCATTGCTGGCTGCATTGACGGATTTAGTCATGACATAATGTGGATGGAGGCATACAGTATTTCACAAACGGTGACCCAAAAGTGATCGTGGACTACTTCATAAACACAGTGACTCGCATTGAAGGCTGTCCACAGCATAGACATACACTAAATACTTAGACGCCTCGTTGAGTGGGTTGACCCGCTGCAGTGGTACGTCGGAGCATCCGCCATATTGAATGTGGCAGGTCTGCCGGTCAACTAATACAAGGAAATGGACTGAACTTCATAAAACACCGTTCTACAAAGTGTTTGAAGTTAATCCCTGTCAATTACACACACTGATATATTTGGAAAACAAACAGGAGCAGGAGCTTTTTGTTTCTGCAGCTGGGTTCCTATGATATTTTTCTCTGTTGTCATTTTATTAACTTTTCCAGTTTCTTCTGTGAACAAGCTGTAATTTTATCGTCCTGTTGTGTGATTGCTCCATTTTCAAAGAGTTTATTATTTTTCAAACAGTCTGAAAAGTTGAAGGCAACATTAAAAACTGAAAAGCAGCTGAAAAGAGGCAGCCTGAACTTGTAACACATCCAGGAGCCATGAGGATTTAAAGCATAGCTAACCCTGCTGCATGTGTGTGTGTGTTTGTTTCAGATTACCTTGTAGGGACGAATTTTACAAAAAAAATCATGCTCTGTGGGAACCAACTGTTCTTTATGTGGACCAAAGCCAGGTCCCCTATAAGGAGAAGTCTCATTGGGGGGAGGGGGGGGGGTGTTAGGGTTAGATAAGTTGTGAGTTGCAGATGGGTTAGACATGTACTGTAATGGTTAGGTTTAGGGTAAGGGTCAGGGTTAGGCTATAGAAAATGAATGGAAGTTGATGCAAAGTCCCCAGGTATGTTTACAAGAACGTGCATGTGCGTGCGCGTGTGCGTGTGTGTTTTCTTGTGTACCAGGTACCTTCACCCAGAAGGTTTACCATCTGACTACACAATTTCCATGATGCTCCGTTTACTCCCTGAGACACCGCAGGAACCCTTTGCATTGTGGGAAATCCTCAACAAAAACAATGAGCCTTTGGTGGGACTAATTCTTGACAGTAAGTCTGAATCACTTTTTGCAGCTTTGTTCCTTCTTTTACATTTTAACTCACTTTCTTTCTTTCAAGTATACAAAGAAAGTTTAGAAAGCTGCCAATTTCTGAAGTTAAAGAACTATTTTTGTAGAAGTCCATTGTTTTCCAACCATTCATGAATTTACTTAGCTATGTATGAGCATAGGAAGGGTCATTTCAACACACCCAGTATTTTTGTAATCGAATAAAATTAATAATAATTCAGAAATATAACAACAACAACAGAAACATCTGACCACTGAGCAACAGTCCAGTTATTTGTTTCCTCAGCAGGTAAGATGCTTCTGACTCTGTCTCTGGTTCAGGAGTGGCTGGACTTGAGGAATGAGACGTTAGTAACTCATGTCTAGAAGTTAATCAGCTGATGGAACTTCTTTACAATATTTAAATTTTCTGAAACAACGGATTTTGTTTTTTTCAATATTTGCAAGTCATAATCATCAAAATACAAGAAATAAAGGCTTGACATATTTCACTCTATGTGTAATAACTCTATATAATCTATGAATTTCACTTTCTGATGTGATTGACAAAATAAGTTTAACTTTTTCATGATATTGTAATTTTTGAGATGCACCTATAGTGAGAAAAACAATGAAATGGTGAAACCAGTGAAATTAGGGTACTTGTATAGCGGTTGCTGAAAATGTGCAGCTTGTACGTAAATGACTGAAGTTTGTTTTGAACCTTGTCCTGTTTGTCCACAGACTCTGGAAAGACACTGTCCTTCTTTAACTACGACTACAGAAGAGACTTCCAGACTGTCGCCTTTGAAGGATCAGAAATTAAAAAAATATTCCACGGCAGCTTCCACAAGGTTTGTTACTGAAAGCTGCTGAAAATGACTTCATTAGTGACAAATGCAAAGTCAATGAATACACGTTAACTCCACGGTGAAATATTCTTTAAATGTTTTAGGATTTTATAGTTTAGGATTAATATTCACACTCCTAAACTGAATCTTTGCTGTTACACCAAATAACACAAGTTTGTAAAATATTCAATAGTGTAACGTTTCTGAAAGTGTGGAACCAGTTAGGAAGGTTTAATGTTGAGCTGGGATTTTTTTTTTGTCTTGATCTGTTATTTTCACTTGAAGACGATCCTTGATTCTGTGTTTAACTCATCTTCCACCGTGGTTTTTAAACTTGGTTTTATTACAGTAAAAGTATGCAGCATGAAGATAAAATTTTATTTTCCAAACTTATCATTAGAACGAACTGATTGATCAAGTTCCATTTTTAAAACTTTTCCATCAACTATTTGACTCTAAACTGTCTTTTGGCAAAATATCTCAAAAACCACTGAAGGGATTTTAATTAAAGTCTAAGAAAGTAATCACTGCACTACGACTGATGAGCTGTTGAAGTCAACCCAATTTAGGACAGCCACTGCAGCCAACTGGCTTTAGGTCATAAACTGGCTATAATCCAGTCCATTTAGCAAAGAGAGAGAGAGAAATTTGGTTTGATAGTAGCTCAGTCATCCTGAGAACATTTTGTGAGTACAAATACATTTCACAAGATCTCAAAATATTGCATGAGAAATCTTATTACATAATTTTTTTACAGAGTTTGACCGAAATAACTCTGTTCTTCACAACATGAGATGATTTTTGTCTAAAACTCTGGCATGACAGGCAGCAGGTGATACACATTCATTCAAGTAATACATTTAATTTTAGTGGTTATTCATTCAACATTTATTTGTACAGGCTAGCCTCATTGAGCCACGGGGACTCATTTACAAGAGACCTGTTTCCGACAGAACATATAAAGTACAAACAACAATATCATATATATATATATATATATATATATATATATATATATATCGTTCTAGAATTGCGCCGCTCAAGGTGGCTGCATGTTGGAGCAGCTCTGTTACTTTCATTCTAAGATTTTGCTTTTGGAAACTTTAATTCCTGTTTTTCTGGATGTAAATCACATTTTTTTGGATGATTGTTTCCTCTGGTATCAGATGCTGTGCAGCTGGAAGGATTTTTACTGAAACTTTTTTAGTTTTGGACATTTGTTTTGATGCGTAACCATGGCAACAAGGCAGTTTTCTACAACCAACAGCAGCTGATTAACATCTCAAAAGCTCAAATAATATCTCAACTACAGCCCCAAATCTCAAATGAGTTGAAAAGGATGTTCTGTGGACGCATTCTCATCTACCTGCCAGCTGTGCTCAACTGCCTGACCACTGAGATCCTGGAACTAGCAGGAAACACGGCTCATGACAGCGGAAGGACAGGATCGTCCCTCGGCACATACAGTTGGCTGTCCGCAGCAATGAGGAGCTCGGCAGACTGCTGGGAGGAGTGGCCATCTCTCTGGGAGGAGTTCTGCCCGTCATTCGGGCGGTCTTACAGCCCGTGGGAATCGAGAGGCCAGCCGAGTCTGGGTGGACGGATTGGATGCATCTGCGGCCAGTTTCTTAGGATCCACTGTGGGACGGATCTTTACAAGAGATCCTTCCTGCCTACAGTCATCAGTATCTATAACTTCTCTTAATGAAATGAGGATAACGAGTTACAACAACAAATAATTTCCCTTTGGGATTAATAAAGTATATATATCAAAACAGAAAAAGGTCATACAATAGTGATTGTATGACCTTTTTCTTATAAATGGCCTATTTTTTAGGGGTCCAAGCCAGCGTAGGCAAATGTAGCTGCAAAGAAACAGTGTTTCCATGCATTCAGCGAATAATGGAACCTTATTGTATTTGTTATGTTTTGTTGTTGTTGATCTGCCAGTAAAAATCCTGCTGCAGCCCAAACCACTGGGAGTATTGGGATGATGTTTACCAAAAATATGGACATAAACCAGTAGTAACAGATTATTAGATTATTTTTTGGGCTACAGCGACATTGTTTAACATGCACATGTTTAGGACTGCACCACCTCTCACTTAAATACAGAGTAATTTACTCCTGTTTTCCTCTTGCTGCTTCTCACGGCATCTCCTTCGACTCACACGTGGCTGAAGCCAAGTATTGCCATGCTTTTGTCCAGAATATGTGAGTGAAGCTGTGTTTCTGGGAAACACATAGCACTGCAATTACAGAATTCCCACAAGGTATTTATTAGTGTAGGGAACCTGTCAGTTTTGTTCCCCAGCAACCTTACATCCCAGTAAAAGTCACTGGAGCAGAAGATTGATGTCTCAAAAGCTTCAGCTATGCTTTCCAATCTTGTTTGGAGTTCCTTTGAATGAAAGGCCTTGGTCTTGGCAGAAGCACAGGTCTCCTCAGTGGAATCTGCTGGGGTTTTTTCATAAACAATGCCCATTCCATTTTATTCCTGTCACTTTGGCTCCAGGAGTAATAAAAATAACAAAACCCTCAAAGTACATGGTCAGGTTACACCATATGTTGCTGTTTAAGCCAAAGTGGGCTTAACTGGACACAACTGAGGAGGACACCAACATCATCAACATGCAAGACTGAAATTTGCAGAAATACATACTGACAAGTCACTAAGCATCTGGGAGAATGTCCTTTGGGCAGATGAGACAAAACTGAAACTTGTTTTAACAGCAAGTCATGTCAGCTCTTTGTTCACAGACCCAAAACTAAAACCCACAGGAAAATAAAAATAACGGTGAAATGCAAAGGCTCGGTTCTGTTCTGGGGCTGCTTTGCTGCATCCGACACGGGATGTCTTCAATCTGTGCAGGCAGGGTACAATGAAATCTGACCTTTAACCTGGCACTGCTGATAAGTCCGGGTGTAGCTATGCTGCACCATCATCTCTGATATTGCTCGGTAAATGTATTCATTTCCAGTGGTGCTGTCCGTTAACACGATCCGAGAAGAAATGGAGGTTCAGATGTAGTTTGCAGTTTTACTGGCCGGGTCATCCAGTGACAAAACTCTGCCAGCCAGTCGGGACCTCAGAGCAGTTTGCTTGGAACCATGAATAAGGTGGTCCCATAAACCGGGCTCAGTGGGATTGGGTACTGGCAGTGGACAGGCCCATAACTGGTGCGGTGTGGAGCAGAACCAATAAGAGTTGAGACAGTGGCAATGCACTATGGGTAGAAGGGATGTTGGAGTTTAGATTATCCAGTGTATATATGCAACAAGTGGCTTGGACCTTGATAACTGCTCGCAGTTTGAGTTATTTTTACTTTTATTCCATAACTAAAAGTCATGCTGCAGCCCAAATCGCAAGTACAGTCGTACTAAAATAACATTTAAATGATACTAACTATGGTCTGCATGTGCAGCAGAGAAAAGTTCTCAAGACGTTCACATATGGGGGACGTCATAATCTGAGGCTTTGCATTTGGTCGTCTAACTTCTAAACCATAAGTCACAAAGTTTTATGGCTTATGAGTCACATGGTATAGGCCACGCCCATTTAGGCATACAATTATTTTTATTCTATATTGCAAAATTTAAATATAATAATATATAACATACTTCATAGCATCCCAAAGAATTTTTTCACAAGATCATCTCACCCAATCTGTCAAAGAGCCTAAACTTTCAGAGATTCTGAGAAGTTTTTCAAAGGGAAAATAAAGTATCCTAATTTCTCTAATACTAAAAAATTACCAGCATCAACCTATAGGTGGCCTTACATTTATGATCAAAACCTGGAGATCTGCAACTCTAGAAATCTAAGTCTCATCAATAAGTATGTTTCTTCTTAATTATTTGTGTTTTTTGTTTTTTTTTTTGTTTTACTATGGATGAATACATTTAGAAAATGTACCATTATTTATGTAAATTGGCAATATGTGCAATAGCTTCAAAAATCTTCTCCAAGGGCTCAAACCTGTGCAGTCTAAAACCTTCCTATACCATCTAAAATAGTGTTTCTGAAAAAGTTTTACAGGAAATTGGAAATTAAAGGGTCTTTAAATTATCAAGTTTCCTTGACTGATGAAGCCTTCCGGATCGAAGGCGAAACGTTTCAGCACAAAAAAAGAAACTGTCCAGATGACTTGACTGAAAAATGTTGGATTATCAAGTTATGTTTATTCATATTTAGGCTAGTTAGCATCTTATAAATATGGCCACATATGATCTATTTCAGTATTAATACACATCGGTCATAAATCATATGTCCAGTTTCCCCTTCTAAACAGGTGGCTCGGCTTTTATAATTACCAAACTCTAGGGGACGCTAAAAATGTAAAAACGTCATACCTCAAAAACGATAATGCTGACTTGTACCAAACTTTGCATGACACTTTGGCATGTATCTAGTGCAGAAATGAAAAACGATTTGTTGAGAAGCAGTCAGTTCAAGGTGTTCTCTGAAAAGAGTTCATGTTTTATTAGAAATACAAGTGTTGGTTTGTCAAATTGTAGTTGTTTGTTGTGTTTCTTCTTCTTCTCCAAGGAGCAGCTTTTGTGATTATTTTAATCTCTACAGACATACAGCAGCCCACCAGCCTTTAGTTTTCTTTCTTTATCTTAGTTCTGAAAATTTGCAGGAGTAGCTGTCCATCATTTTCTATCTTTTGTCTTTGTTGGAGCGCTTGACAACATTCAGAAACAGAACAGATGCGGAGGACTGGCAGACCAGAGGAAGTGCTCATCTCTATTTAGACAAGATGACAAGTGAATCAGGAGTGTGCTTGTGTGTGCATACAGTATGTGTGGCCTTTATAAAAGGATTACATATGAAGATGATGTGCGTTAAAGCAGGAAAACACTGCAGGATCTGTCAACACTTGAAGCGCAGACAGGTTCATAAACTGAGACATAAAACAGAATCTGGTGAAAGAGACAACAGAGACTTAAATGGAAATTACACCTAGTTACATTTATTTTTCCAATTGTACAGGGATTTAAACACAGGAGTAACATGTACTGCAGTGAGGAAATATTTGTTTTACTCTTTCAAATTTTCTTCAATTGCTAATTAAATGTACACAAACTGATCTGAGTATGTGTTAATGATGATTTTCAGCTACTACTACACCAAATGTAATATTTATCTTTTGACTTGAATTTGTTTAAGCCAATTTTGTGTTTTTCAAATGTTGAGTAGCTGTGGCAGCTGTTTTCAATGAGGTCGACTTCACATGTTAATTAGTACTTTTCTTTAAATAAACTTGTTTTTCAATGCAAATATGACCCTAATAGAAGATATGCTTATATTTAAGCATCATTATTTTGCTGCCTTCTGTTGTTGTCCAGGTAATTCAGAGTTTGAAAAACTTGAAAGTAGGGATGCACAATATTGGATTTTTGGCCAATATCCAATTTGCCAATATATTAAAACTTATTTGGCTGATAATCGATACTGATATTTTTAATATACTTTCCTTTGTCAGAACATAGTCCTCTTTTTTAGGCTTATTTGCTACAAAAATTGTGCAACATCTGTAAGATCTGGTGACATATATTCAGTAACAGCCATATGATATGCATAGCACTTTAACTTGTATTAAATGAAAAATGTTAAATGTTATTTATTAGCATTAGTCACCTGCGATGCTGTCTCACTTGTGGAGGCTTGTTCCAGGTTCCTAGCTGCAGTGTGGGATCCTCTGCACTCTTGTGCATGAAGGACAGACTTTTTAAGATAGAAGTTTTTGTCTATCCATTGTTGCCGTAAGGCTAATCAGGCTAACGGGGCTAACACAACGTCCAAATGTCTGTGGTAAAGCTCACCCAAGTGCTATCGGCTGTTAGCTTCTCAATGATGTTGGAAATGACGGCTTGTAGCTCGGGTAAGGCTGCGTCGGAAAAATATCTCAGACTGGGGACGATGTGGTGAAGTTCAGCTTAGTCCAAAAATCTTGGGAATCCGACAACGAAAAAAAAACTTCCACACGGTCGACATTTTCACTTCTTCCTCTCCACCATGATCAGATCAGGTAGGCGCGCGTGACTTCATCACGTTGTGCTGCCGCTGCAGTCGTCCTTGTCACTGGGTTGTCATACAAAAACAGCATCTTTTATATCTGATTATTTTTGATAGATTGGCCGATGAATTAAAGCAGATAACACACACGCATATTTTATACCACAGACTTTTCTGTCGTATTTATTCCCTACATACTAACATGGACCATAACTGAATGCCACACAATATCAGCATGACTGCACCTCAGAAGATTTTTATAAAGTTTTATTATTTTTTATCAAAACCACACGTTCATGCTCAGTGAAGCACATAGATAATTTGAAGATGCAAAATTTTAAAAAAAGCAGCTGTAAATATGAACTTTATTTAACTACATGTTAGATGAAGTTTATTTCTACATAGAGAAATTAATCACCTTTGAAATTCTTGTGACCTAAAACGGATGTTATGATATTTTAGTGGTAGATGACCAGGACGGAAACCCTACTTGACGGTGAAACATGCAGATACTAATAGTCCAGTTTATCACTGTCCTTTTCCAGAATGCCATATCCCTTCCTCATTAACCGAGTTACTGGCTTGTTCATGTCTCTGTCAGTTTTCTATAAGTAGGCAGATGCTGACAGTCATCTGTATGGGTTGCCTTTAGACACGTTTTGTTGTCATTTCAGAACAGAGGAAGGAAAAACACACCCACACACATGTATATATATATATATATATATATATATATATATATATAATATATATATATATATATATATATATACATATATATGTATACATATATATATACATATATACATATATATATATACATATATATATAGTGGAATTTGGGGGTGGGGTTACATTTTAACAGCTATATTCTCTTTTTTGCCGTACAGCTTCATGTAACTGTCAGCAAAACATCAGTGAAGGTGGTGTTGGACTGCGCTGTGGTGGGAGAGAAGCCAATCAGTGCATCCGGGAACATCACCACAGATGGAGTGGAGGTCCTCGGACGAATGGTTCGGTCCCGAGGCAAACAGGACAGCAGTGCTCCGGTCAGTATCAAACTGTACTTCTTGTTGCTGTTTTTGCATTAACATGAAATCATAATAAATATTTCAGTTTAATTCATTTATTTATAAAGTATCCAATTACATTAGATAAAATAAATCATTGTGTGGTGTTAATATTAGGATGAAAAACATGAAACTGATCCGAAATCTACATTCTTTGTTGTTTTTGAGTATTTGGGGTCAGTTTTATTGTTGAATAAAAGAACAGTAATTAAATTAATGGCTAGTATTTAGTAAAAACATATGTTATCATTTTGTAAATTGTGGATCTGCAGTGTTTATTTAGATTGTCTGCTGTTTGTGGGCTGGAAGTTCAAATGATAGCAATGACTGATATCGTCTAAAGTATCCCATAGTTACCTGTTGCATGCTCAATAATCCATCTAACAAGGTTGAGTCATGTCCTCTGGACAGTTTCTTCATTGTTGAAACGTTTCGTCTCTTTTCCAAAGAACTCAAAGCATGAACCAAACCTTCACACAGACTTTGCAGTTTTGCCATGGCCGAAACTGCTGTCTCCATCTTCTGTAATAGCCGATAACATAGGAATCCACTGATGTCAAAAAGCAGAAACACTGCCATCATGGTTCCAGTTATATAAACATCTTCAACATCATCCTGAGACAATACAGAAAGACACATCAGCTCCCAAACTCCACATGGATCCATGATGTATCTTGCCGCGTGCGTCTCAGTGGGGCATGAGGGCTCTCCAGGACCCTGTCGCTTTGTTGAAAATATTGTATTGATTGCGTTGAAAGTCCAGCTGACCAGATCCATGACAATAGTGTTAGTTTTGGAAAATGTGTAAAATAGGAGCTCCGATACACAGACAGAGAGCAACAAAAAGCAGGAGGAGGACAGGAGCATGAGGAGGAGAAAAAGCGCCCACCTTGCACGAGAGCGAGTGAGGAAACTTACTGGAGAGTAAGGACAAGAGTTAATATAATGGTTTGGATCCTTGAGTCTGATTCAAGATGTTGTTCATCTCTTACAATCGGAGGAGAAGGTCATCGCCGGGGTGAGGGTCCAATAGTTCCAGTAGTCACAAACGAGGAGGTCCCAGAAAGGTTGTATAGATTGGTGGGCAGGTGGTGGAAGGCAAGAAATGGCTAGAGGAATCACTTGGAGGCTTTAACAATGAAACCAGGGAGGTCCAAGGCACAGGAGGAACACAGGAGTCAATACTGAAACACATGAGACAAGGTTTTAGTCTTTACAAAACTCTAGGAACGGTAAAGTGGTCAGGGGCACAGCTACCAGTAGACAGACTGTGCACAGCATCGGACTGAAATCAACTGTCACTCCTACAGCTCAAGATAATGGTCTGCAGGTGTGAGCCTGTTGGCACCATCTGGTGTTGAAGAGCTGTAGGGAAAAAACTGGAACTCCTACACAGTTAGTTATCTATCAGATACTTAAGTCTAATATAAAAGCAAAGGATGGACGATAACTAGTCACAAGTGGAGGATTTCATTAGAATATAAATTGCAGGCCTCTTCTACAATTTTGATGCTAACATTTTGGGATGAGTAATAACTCTTAATCTCAAAGGTTGATATATTTCCTCAGGACTATAGTCTACATCCTCCAGTTTATTTTATTACGTGAGGATGTTTAAAAAGATGCATCTGTATGCTCAACTTCGTTCCAGGTGTTCATCACTGCTTGCACTATAAACATTAGCCAAAACATCTGTTGTCTGTTTCCTGTCAGAAGCAGCACACAGACCCATCTCTACATAACGTAAAATCAGACAGTGTTTTTAATCGACTCCTGTTTGATCAGTCATGCAGTGTGTTACAGGAGCTGATACTGATTTATTGTCAACATTAATGAACTGACTGGGTGTGTGCACGTGCACTCATGCTTGTTTATGTTTACAGTTCCAGCTGCAGATGTTTGACATCATCTGCAGCACATCCTGGCCCAGCAGAGATAAGTGCTGTGAGTTGCCCGCGTTGGTAAGAAACTATTTGTTTTCCTTCCTGTGAACAGTAAATCAGTTTGCTGTAAAACAGCTCATAATATTTCAAATACTTATTACAAATAAGATCAAATCTGTTTGACGTATAGGACTGGCTTTATTGTCCATTTTACAAAGACAGATGAGTTTACTTTCATTAAATGTGCAATATTTATTTAATCAATAAATCACAATATTCACCTGCACAATGTTGCCATTATTTTTTAAAGCTACTGGACACTCGTAGATTATTTTATTTTATTTATTAATAATTCCTTACATTGGTGTGTTTTTGCTATGTATTGCAGTTTCTCCTGTACTTGAATGTTTCATAAAAAATATTTATGGTGTCAGTAGCCAAGGAAACCAAACAAACAGATTTTATTGTGGTGTAGATTCTACCAACCTGGACAAATTGTCCACTGATGTGCACGTTTTACTATCATTATCCTGTCTGGCTGATTAAGGCTTATTTATACGATGCTGCTCTTGTCTGGCTGCTGTAAAGACCGTTACAAACTACACACGATCCTGTCCTGTGTGTCCTCAGAGAGTTGAAGAGCAGTGCCCTCCCATGCCTCATGCTTGCACCTGCTCCCAGGAAAGCACTGGACCTCCGGGACCCTCCGGACCTCCTGTAAGAACATTAAAAATTGTTTTGTTCTAAGATTTGTTGGCTCATAGACTCACATGATAAACTTAGCAGCTTTTTGGGACCAGTAAAGCTAAATAAATGGATGGAAATATACTGTTCATTTATTGTTTCCACTTTCTCCTCACAGATCTTAAAACTCACAGTGCCAGATAAAATCTAACTAGTTCAACATTTTTATTTCCTCGTTGTCTTTTATTTATCTCCTAATCTTTGTTTGCATCTTTGGTTGCTGAGGAGATTTGGTGCGCGCATCAAGCCTTTTAGTTTGAGAACCTAATTACAGGATGGTTCCATTTATCATAGCTGATTACGGGTTTCTGAACTTTTATTCATTTCTGAAAAGCGAGATTTATGTGCTTACTCTTCAAGCCACTGCGCTTCACCTTCAGCTGTCTACCTTCTCTCTTTTTTCTTTATCTAACCTTGAAAGTCTGTTTCTTTAACAGAAACGTTCATTACATTTACACATTCAATAAACAAGGAAACTTTCAGGATGCAGTAATTTGTGATAAACCTAATTTCATTTTCTTTTTTGTTTTAGATGAAGTTGGTGTTCAAGGCTTAAAACCAGTTGAAGGGTCAATCAAACTTTTGCTGTTTTCTTTCAGACTTGGATAATGTGAAAAACTGAAGGGTGTACATGAAAGTAAAAAGCTGCATTTTTAGACATATATCCATGCATCTGAAGTTGAAATTAAACACAACTGGGAGGCAAATAAAAGATAAAAGAAATTAGGAAAAGACACCCTGATCATTCGTTTGCTCAAATTAAAAGTTAAAATACACCTTAAACCAGTTTTGTCCTCCCTTCACTGGCTCCCTGTACGTACCAGAATACATTTTAAAATTCTCCTGTTGACCTTTAAGTGCTTTAATGGCCTCGCACCCTCTGAGCTACTGGTACCACATGTTCCTTCTCGGGCCCTGAGATCATCTGAGCAGCTGCTTTTGGCTGTTCCAAAAACAAGCTCAGAGGAGATCAGGCTTTTTCAGTCGTGGGCCCTAAACTTTGGAACAACCTGCCCCCCAACATTAGAAACTTCACTTCCTGTCTTTAAATCTCTGATAAAAACACACTTTTTCTCTCACAGTGTGATTTGATTTAGTATTTTAGTGTTCTGTGTTTTTATGTTTTTCTTTTGATGCATTTATTTTTTCAGTACTATCATTTTTATTTTTTTTCCATTGAATTACTCCCATTGATTTTTATTAAGCACTTTGATAACAGCTTCTGTTTTAAATTCATCCATCCATTTATTATATTTACCTGTTTATTCCTTTTCAGGTCACGGGGGTCAGACATGTTTACATGGACATAAGTAATCGAGATTGAACGGCCATTCGGAATAAAAATGCATCATGTAAACGCCCCATTCAGATTATCCTTTGTTGATTCAGCTTGATCCGAATGAATTTGTAATCTGAATGAGAGGGATGGTTTATGCCGATTCATAGTCCGAACGGTGTGCATGTAAACACTTAATCTGATCGTTTTATTCTGATTGTGGAAAACGGACCTTACTGTGCATGTGCGACTTGTGTCTGCTTCACGTATTTTCACCTGGCTAATGCTAATATGTCGGGGAAGCAAAACTGGTTGGTGAGCGACAACATTTCTACTAGAAACTTTGAAAGAGCTCAAAATGATCGGTATTGCCTGCAGCTCAGTCAGGGAGCGCAGTGACGTCTCTACCTTCATTTAAACCTGTCATGGGTCCATTGTGGGTGATCCGGTTTGTTTACGTTCGTCCCAGAAGAAAACCGGAAGTATAACTTCTTCTTCTGTTGTTTTTTTAAGGAAAGTTTACTACTCTAGGCATGTCAGTACTTTTATTCAGAATAAAAGTCCGCTGCATGTAAACGCTCGTCGTGAACGGATTGTGCTCATGTAAATGACACGTTTGGATTATTTAATCCGAATACATTTCAATCCAATCAAAGAATTTTGTGCATGTAAACATAGCTACTGGTGCCCATGTCCAGCAATCACTGTATGAGAGGTGGGGGACACCCTGGACAGGTCTCCAGTCCATCACAGGGACACATAGAGACAAACAAGACAACCAGTCACTTCATCATTCACACCTAGGAACAATTTAGAGTTACCAATCAGCCTAACATGCATGTTTTTGGTCTGTGGGAGGAAACCGTAGTACCAGGAGAAAAGCCACACATGCACGCGGAGAACATGCAAACTCCACCCAGAAAGGCCCCCAGCCGGGATTTGAAGCTGGGCGACCTGCTCGCTGAGAGGCGGCAGCTGTCTCAACTGCACCACCGTGCTGCCGCTAGTTTAAATGTGCTTTATAAATAAAGTTGACTTGACTTGATTAAGTCATCCTGTTGAAGAGAAGATTTTTTTTTTTAGAAATATGTGGAAATTAATAAATCTGTATTAGTTTGTACCTAATCTACAAAGATAATACCTTTTTTAATGCCATAAAGAATGATGCAGACAATAATCCCAAACATTTTATTCCATATCTTCAATGTTTACATTCTCAGCCAGATCATAAAGTCTTTTCTTGTCACACAGCAGAGACTCTTTAGTTTATGTTTGTCACAGTATTGGTTTTCTCAGCTGACCTGACCAGTGGCGTCTCATTTAATGCAGGCACAGCTCAATACTCTATATCAGTCAACAATCAGCCTTACATTTAGTACAACAAGGCATGCTGAACCTGCATCTGTCTTTGTTAAAACTGAGCAGTGCCTGTGCTGTTTTAGGTCCAAAGTGGAAATTGGTCTTTGGAATCAAATTGCTCTGTTAAATTGTAAGAGACGTGTTTTCTTTTCCATTCATTGTTGAAGGTTTGTGTGTGAGTCCAACCATAATTATGTTGATAGCATCTTCTGGAAGCTAATTTTAGTTTTTCTGTGCAGTTTCTTTTTCTTTCACATGTAATGTAATGTAGGTTTTAGAAGAATTTGAAGAGGCAAATAAATTAGACAAACTTCAGATATGAGTGAGCAGTTAGACACGGTTTAACTTTTCATTGGCTTTAATGAAAAAAATAAAATGATGTGGATTAAAATAATCTGGAGTAGAACTACATAACTAAAACAAAGTTTATTTTATATGTCTTGGTTTTACACGTCTCCTCTCATATTCCCCACTAAATAAGCCTTCTGGCAGACACTTGGCTGTCTGGCTGCTTCATGGTTCCCAGGAGAGGCTCATTTAAGCAAACACAGAAGGAGGATCTATAACAAATTAGCCAATGATCAGCAGCTGGGGGTTGTCTGCGCCCGGATAAACCTCAGGACCGGAGAATCAACCCAGAGTTTATAGCTGCAGACCTTTACTTTCAGTCATAAATCCCTCCATCCATTTTCTTTAACCACTTTTTCCTTTCCGAGTCGCGGGAGTCGCTGGTTCTGCTGGTGCCCCTTTCCAGCAGTCACTCTGCAAGAGTCGGGCTACACCCTGGAAAGGTTGCAAGTTACATCATAGATGCATTATTATAATTTAAAGAACATCAAAAGAATAGTTCAGATCTTTTAAAGTGGTGTTTCTGAAATGGTTATTAACAATGTTATAGATAGCTCAACTAAACCAAATAACCAAGTGGTTTTCTCCCATCTTAAAATAACTCTAATCTTGAAAAGTTGGTGGCAGTCCATAAAAACATTATTCTATACACTTTTAAACTGCTACCAGTTTTAGATTATGATAATTCTGTTAGAAATTGTGTGATAGTTTTTGTCAGAAATGTCTCGAGCTGCAGTGGATGTGCTATAATTAGTTTTTACCATTTGTAAGTAAGTAAAACTTTATTTATATAGCGCTTCTCAAGATAAAAATTACAAAGTGCTTCAACAAACAAAATAAAAAAGTGCACAAAACAAATTTAAACAAAGGCATATTTAAAAAGATGAGTTTTTTTTAGCTGGCTTTTAAAAGAAGCCACTGAGTCCACTGAGTCCACTGAGTCCACTGATCGGAGAGTTTGAGGAAGGAGTTCCAGAGTCTTGGAGCCACAGAAGAAAAGGCTCTGTCTCCTTTAGTTTTCAGTTTTGTCTGGGGGACAATCAGCAGGTCTTCATCACAGGACCTCAAAACCCTGATCAGGGTGTAGAGATGGAAAAGTTCTGAGATGTATATTGGTTTATGTCCATGCAGAGCTCACCAAGTCAAAACCAAAAGCTTGAAGTCCACTTGATAATGAACTGGGAGCCAGTGGAGTTGCTTTAGAAGTGGAGTTATATGACAAAATTTTGAAGATCCAGTCAGAAGTCTAGCAGCAGCATTCTGTACAGACTGCAACCGGGAGGTTTTGGTTAAACAAGTGTACAGTGCATTACAACAATCCAGGCGAGACGAAACAAAAGCACGAATTAACATTTCCAGTTCTGGACGAGAAACAATATGGCTAAGCTTGGCAATATTTTGCAGATGGTAGAAACAGGAACGAACCAGAGACTTTACATGACTTTCCAGAGTAAAACCTGAGTCAGTGGTTATCCCAAGGTTTCTGAACAAGAATTATAACCAAGACACCCAAGAATCTGCTTTATCACTGCAGTAGTTTTTTCTGGACCAAAGATGATTACTTCAGTTTTTTCTCTATTTAGCCGGAGAAAACTTTCATTTGTAAGTAACCATAGTGAATAATACTGTAATATAAATATATCAGCAGTGTAAATGTTGACATCCATCCATTATCTTTTACCCACTTCTTCCATTTGGGGTCATGGGGGTCGCTGGTGCCCATGTCCAGCTATCACTGTGAAGGGACGGGGTACACCCTGGACAGATCGCAAGTCCATCACAGGGCTAAATGTTTACATGGCAATATAGAATAGTCTAATTAGTACAAACTTGGAGTGTACCTGGACCTTCATGGGTCAGTCTGTATTATGTAGTCACTTGTTAGCCTGCACAAACAGGCTACATACCCTGCCTGTCCTTACCTGCTCGTACCCAGTACATACTGAGCTGTACTATGTAGTCCCTCGTTCATCGCGGGTGTTGGGGACCACGTCCCCCACGATAAGTGAAAAACCTCAAAGTAGGGGTACAGTAGTCCAAGTTCAAGTTCATGTAAACTTTATTGTATGACTTTATTCCTTGTATTTAATTAATATAAAATGTGTTGGGTTCCTCTTTTCTTAACATTTTTGAATGAAACCTAAACTTCTATTAAAATCTGTTTTTGATTCTTTTTCAGGGTGGACCAGGAATAAGAGGAGCCCGAGGAGACCGAGGGGAGCCAGGGGTGACGGTTTGTGATATGCATTTTATTGAGAACACACATTTTCTGCAAAAGTGCTCGAACAAGGCTGGTCTGAAACCTTTATATGCTATAGTTATATCCAAGTTAGAAGGTGAAACCATCCCAGGAGGAGCAGACCTTATACATTTTTGTGACTAAACATTAGATCTACTCCTAATGAAAACGATAGTAGATCCCAAAGAAGTTGAAAGTCAACAAGTAATCTGTTGCATTCTTCACTTACTGACAGTCCTCTCTACATCCATGGACAGAGCAGGTCACTGCTTTCATACAAATAAATGTGTATAAATAATTTTTATTATATAAGGCAAAAAAGTATGAACACTATACACTTGAATAGAGCCTTTTCATCAACTGCACTGAAGACATCGCCCTTTCTTTTAGGACATGAACTTTGAATTGGGAAAAAAGTTACAAATTTGAAAATATTTTTGTTATGGTGCTCTGAAATTGGAACAAAAGTACAAAACATGATCAGCTATAAGAAAAGCTTTGCCAGGTTGGTCAATATGTTCTATATTAGATGATTATATGCACATTTTTTGAGAGTATGTGGTTTCCTGTTCTGGCTTGCACATAATAATTATAATAAATGTTGAACACATGTTTTTTTTATTCTTACTGATACATAATAAGTAAGGGGGAGTGGTGGCACAGAGGTTAGAAAAGGTAGGCCTGTGATCGAAAGATTGCTGGTTTAACTCCTGATATCAACAACATTAAAATGTGAGTGGGATTGGTTAAGCACCTACACCTGTCTCCACCCTCATTTACCCCACTCTGGGCCCTTGAGCAAGGCCCTTAACCCCCATCTGCTCCTCCGGGTGTCCTAGATAGCAGCGCTCTGCTCCACACAGAGGGCTGTGGTAGCTCGGTGGTCTGTGGTTGTATCAGGAAGGACATCCAGCGTAAAAATAATTGCCAAGTCTCCGTGCAACTTAGTTCGCTGTGGTGACCCCTGAAGAAGAAAGCAGCCGAAAGAAAAAAAACATATTAAGTAAAAAAAAAAAAAGGAGTCACCTTGTTTTAAATTCAAAACTAAAAAGAGAGTTACCAGAAGTTTTTAATCACATTTCCTATTTTCTTAGACATAAGATGCATCAAGATTGATTTTATTTCCCTCTTTTTTCATGAACATCACAGTTTCATAGGATTGTTGTCGCAAATAGAAAACATATGAAGTCAGTCTGTAAGGCCGAACGGTAAAACAATAAACAAAGTTAACAACTGTTCTGGCTTTCTGCTTCCAGTGGACTTGTGGTTTTCAGAACTTTTTCTCTGGATCCTGTCGCAGTAATTCTGTCTACACTTTAAACACTTATAAAATGAGTTCTACCTCACTGCAGATGGATCAAGAACTCTAATTTAATCCCTGATGTAGAGCTTTTTGTAAAGGCAGCTGGCGGTGCAAAGGCTCAATGGATGCATCGGTGACTTTGATTGGAGGTTATACTTAGAAGATATGGTGTTGAATAAGTTCAACTCTAAAATAAATAATTAAATACAACAAACACATTTCTGTTAGTCTTGTACAAGTACCATATTTACTAGATTATATATTCTTTAGAGATTAAAGATATAAGATCAAGCATTGTTTAAAGGTTTTTGCTTGTCTGTCTGCCGCCATGGACGGTGATCGTATGACTGACAACAATGTTCAGTCAGGTCATCTGGACAGTTTCTTTATTTGTTGAGATGTTTCGTCCTTCATCCAAGGGACTTCTTCAATCTGAGGAGACACCAAATAAACTGATTCCCACAACAGCATACTCCATAGTGGGAAAAAACAGTTTACTGGTGCTAAAATGGCCTCTGGGGCCCACCCTCTTCCCTGTCAACTCCTCTGAGAGTCATGCCAAAGTGGTTCAGAACACCAAAGTTCATGCTCGATAATCCAGGTAAAAGTCCAACAATGTTCAGTCAGGTCATCTGGACCTGTTTGCCCTTGTGTTTATCTCTATTAAAAAAATATCTCCTGATCTACTTAACAGATTTTAATCAATCTCTTAAAGTGATCATTGGTTGAATGTCTACAACTGATAAACTTTTTGTATCAGTCCAATTCAAGATGGCCACCACAGCCAATCAAACAGCAAATTCCAAAATGTCTAAAACTCTGTTGATGTTTGCAGATACTGAGCTAAAATTGGGAGTGATTGTAGCACCAAGCTTCTTTGATAAACTTGGACAAAATCTATTGGAAGTTCATGTTTTTGAGTTTCACGTTGTTTTGTTTTCACAGGGACCTCAAGGGCCTATGGGAGAAATAGGGCCACGTGGACCTTCGGGACTTCCTGGTCCTCAGGGACCCAATGGACTCACCATTCAGGGACCTCCAGTAAGACTTTTCATGTTTCAGGAGTAAAATGATAACATAACAGAAGTTTCTTCCTTTTTGTCGTATTCAACAAAGTTAAGTCAGGTCCTCTGGACGGTTTCTTTGTGTTGAAACGTTTCATTTTTCATCCAAAAGACTTCATCAGTCTGAAGATCCACAACAAAATCAGTCCCATAAGTAGCACACTCACATAGTGGACCAACCAGTTTGATGGTGATAAGATGGTTTCTGGAGTCTGCCCTCTCCCCATTTCCCCCTCCAGAATCCATCTTATCACCATCAAACTGGTTGGTCCACTATGTGAGTGTGCTACTTATGGGACTGATTTTGTTGTGGATCTTCAGACTGATGAAGTCTTTTGGATGAAAAATGAAATGGTTCAACACAAAGAAACCGTCCAGAGGAACTAACTTAACTTTGTTGGATTTTTTACCTGGATTATTTAGCATGAACTTAGATTTTTGTGGTATTATTCTGTCCTTGGTTAAGGCCACAGTAGTTTGGTTTGCTAAATGAAAAGCGTTGACATATTCTTCCAACAGATTTTCAGACGCTTGTGAGTTCATGTTTAAATCCTGCTGAACCCTGCTGAGGCTAAAACGGTTGTTTGGTCATCTAGCAAGTCTGATGTCAGCCTCTCTGGGGTTTTGGTTAATTCTGGTGAAATCTTGAGTCCTTTAGAGATCCAGTGATTTTGTTTGTTTTTCAGGGCACTCGTGGAGACAAAGGAGAGAGAGGAGAGATCGGACCAGCAGGACCAGTGGTACGTATGACTCACAGAAGGTCAGATTATGAGCAACGAATGGAGTAGTCTGCTGTCAGAGCTTCCATCCACAACAGCAATAGCTGCACATATTTCCTGACAGACAGAGCTGTAACTTTTAGAACAAACCCACCTGATGTTTTTTTGTTTTGTTTGTGTGTATTATGCATATATATATATATATATATATATA